GTGTGTGTGTGTGTGTGTGTGTGTGTGTGTGTGTGTGTGTGCACCCTCTGCATGACTCAGCCTCCAGAATCTCAGGGCTCCACCTAGGTGAGCCATGCGCTTGGCAGGCAGCCTGGCCTCACTCCTTGGGGCTGAGCAGCAAGGCATTCATGGGCTGTAGGACGGGTCCTCGAAGCAACCCTGGGTGCTGAGCCAGGTGCAGATCTGGGCAGGGCCAGCCAGAGAACTGGCATCTGGAGCCTGTGAGCAAAGGGCCTTTGGGGACACACAGCTGGGCTCAAACATTCCCGTTCCTCTCAAGGCCCAGGCCCTCGCTTGGGCAGATCTGCTTAGTAGGAAACTCTCGTTTGCCTGGAGCTCCCAACTTGCCCCCATCTCTCCTGGTGACATAGTAAGGGTATTCTCCGCCCTTTGACCCCGGGGGCCTCTGTACCAGCCTTGGAGACAGCCCTAAGGAACTTCCTGGGACTTCTCTTCTCTTCCTGGGACTCCAGTACCTGAAAACTTTCTCCCAGGGTGGAGTTGTCCAGACCCCCTCAGAAAATTGGTTGTCCTTGCCCACATGACCCAAAGGTGAGTGCCCACTTGCCTACCTACAGGTTTCTGTTCACCTGGCACAAAGGGTCATTTGTCCTTTCAGCAGGCCGGTCACCTTATTGACTCACCTTAAACTTCCACTCAACAAACAACCTCCCAGGTCGTCTCATGGAGTGTGGCTAAAGCAGGCGGTCCTTAACTTTCCCCCGTGCAGTTGATGTTTGAAACCCGCGTCCTCATTCAAACTCACTGCCACTGAGTCAATTCTAATTTCTAGTGACCCCATAGGACAGTGTAGAATTGTCCCTGTGGGTTTCCGAGACTGCAAATCTTAGTTGGCGGTTTTGAACTGTTCCCCTGATGGCTAGCGGCCCAAGTCATAACCCACTAGGCCACCAGGGACGCTGACCTAAGTCCAGGCGTCTATATTTCCCCGTGCAATTCTAGTTGGGGCCCATGGTTGCAGCCTGATGAGAATCTAGCCGGTGCTCAGACCTCACCCACAGGCCCCGGAGGGAACCTGGTTCCCAAGGAGAAGGGGCCCAGGACAAGCCCCCAAGAAACACCTCTCTCCCTTCTA